GCTGATGAAGTCTACGTGGAGCTGAGGGAGCTTCCTGGGTAGCCTGAGTCTCCTGCACCAAGGTGGCTGCTCGTGGTTTTGTGGTTCAGATTTTGGCTCTGATTCTTTTCAACTCTTACAGCTCAGCTCCCCTGGTATTTCTGCCTTCTACCTGTGTTTGCTCTGCCAGTCGTTGGAGGTGTTGTGGAAGTCATATGTTCTTAGTTTAGCCAGCACATCTGATGACATCCTGGAGAGCTTTTCAGAGTATTAATTGCATTTCTAGTAGGAATGTGAATCTGCTTTTTTGCACTTGGTTTAGCAGGATATTTGAATGGATCACTTCCGTGAGTAGTGAAGTATTGGATGTCTGGGGGGAGCCGGTAACTATTTATCTGTGGTCAATAGATCTGCAGGTAACAGCTTTATTTTGCAGGCAGCTGGAAAACTTAAATACAAAATGTAGGTCTAAAATCAAGCTCCTATATCTGGTTAAGCATATTAATATCCACATGATTGATTTGTAAAGCTATAAAATAGAAAATAGGTCCTGGATAAGGCAGTGAGATTTGCTTACTGCTCAGTACTTTTGAAAATCAGATCACATATCCGGGTCCTTAAATATAGAGCTAGGAACCTAACTTCACCATGTAACATGGCATAGCATCAGGATCTGAAAAGTTTGTGTTTTTTTTTTTTTTTTAAAAAAAAAAAGCTCCCCTTTATTCTTAGCAGTGCTGTTGTTTTGCTACTGTGGTGTAGTTTCTAAGGAATCTCTGCACATACTGTAGGGTATGGTGACAATTTACAGGAAATCAGTGTAGAGACTGGAATGCTTAATTCAGATTATTGTGCATAATCTGTGTTCTGTTGAAGAATGTGGCACAGTTTGTGAATTTAAATGGATAGATCCTCGAGTTTCCGAAGGCCAGTGCTGCCACTTGGTAAGAGAGACAGTTTGAAGTTTCTGTGGACTGATGTGTGAAAAGTAGTTAAAGACCTGATCTAGAGTGAAATCTCATATCCAAACCATAAAACAACGTGTTTTCAGTGTTGAAAATCCCAGTTCTCCCCCTTTTCTTCAAGTGTTGACCTTCAGCTGTCACTTTCCTTTATCTCTGAGAAGATGGGCACAACTCTTACAGAACACAATATTGGCAACCTCTCAAAGTCTTGATTGCACATTTTGGCTAAGACCTGAAATTTCTACTGCTTCCCTGAATTCTGGGGGTTTGAATGTCTTGGAATACTTTTTTCTTTGTTTATTGGATGATTTCCAAGACTTTCTGTGGGCAGGAGTGCCATAAACACAGGTTTTTTCACTTTTCCCCGTTTCCTGTTCTCTTCCCTACTCCCAGAAACATAGATGTTTAATTTTAGATAGCCATTTAAAGACACTGAAGCAATTTAGTGAATCAGGTTTGAAACCCCGGATTGCCTTCCTCTGAGCAGAGAGCTCCAACCATTAGGCTCAAGTCAGGCTCCTTCTTGCTTGGTTTTCTCTTGGTGTCATTTCTTAGCAGTCCAAGATCAGCAACAAGAAAAATGGGGATACCTTTAACCACACTAACCAGCAGCTTTGTGCTTAAGGATGCTTTAGGTTGCAGGACTATGGATTTATCCTATTACTTCAGAAGGCAAAGGATCATATATTTATGTAAAAAGTGGAATTTAATCCTTTACCTCTATTCAAGAGGTAAATTGGACACAAAGGTGCTTGCTAGAAAGCCCTGAGTGCCTGTGTAGACACATGTTCCCTGTCAGCTGGCTCTAGGTCTCTTCTTACAGTACACTTATCAGATACAGATGTCTTCATTCGCTCTATAGCAAGTATGTCTTAATGTAAGCTTTTTGGCTTACTCTCTGGAGGACTTGGGCAACATCCGCCTCTGCTAATCTTTCAGGATGTATTTGCCACATTCCTTGACCTCCCAAGAAGCATCTTCTTTTCTACCCAAAAAAGTTGCCAGGCAGAATATCAGAAAACCATGTTTGTCCTGGATGTTTGGTGACCTGGTGGGAACCTCTATGGAGCAGTTTCGTGTAGCTGCTGGGTCCTGTGCAGCAGGGGGGAATGCAGGGAGGAATCATGGACCCTGAAATCACTAGATTTGCACTCTGCTGTGCTGTAGATCTGGGGATTGCAGGAAGGCTAGCAGACTCCCTATGCACATGCATACTGCATTAGCTCTGTGCTTTACAGTGAAGATGTGTCCTAGAAACATTGACGTTGTTCAGTCTGTGCTGCTGCGTGCACACATACCTTTTTTGCTCTTGGAAATGCCAGACAGAAGTGCGGTGACCTTAAGAGATGTAGCTGTGTTTCTCTTTCAGGACAATTTTTGTTCACCCCTTCCCACAAGCTTAAAAATTCCCTTGAATGTATTTCTTATGTAAAGAAGCTTCCTGACCATCTCTGATGAACATGTTCAAAACTGTGAGGTAAATGGTACAATTGAAGTGGAATCCAGGAAGAATCCAGTAAGAATTTGAACTTCTATTGTCAAACCACTGTTCAGAATTGCTTCTCCTCACCTTGAGCAGCAGCAACTGCAAAAATTGTGAAGTGTTTCCTACACACAAGGAATTTATTTCCTCCTACTTCCCTCTTTCCCATCCTGAATATTATGTACAGCCTAACGGTGTGAAGGTTGGTTACCTTGTTGAACACTTTGAATATGTAAAAGCTCTGTAAATCCCTAAAACTTATTTTAAAGCCAAAGCCACTTTAAAGATTGCTTAGAGCTAAAATTGATTATATTCTAGTAGTGCTTATACATATCCCAACAATAGATGCTTTCTCTACCAACGTGAAGTGCTGAATTAAGTATGGTTTCTGGCCTGAAGGAATCACAGTCCAAGTAGACCAATTAAAGGCACAGTAATAGAATGTATAAGCAGTGCTCACAAATGTTATGATGACTTACAGTGCGTTTACCACTTTTAATTCTTTAGGAGGGATTTGAAAAGGCAGGAATTAGTCAACTGGAAAGGCAGAAGAAGCAACAGGGTGGGCAAGGGAAGGCTCAAGACAGCAGAGAAGAAAGTGGAGGAAGCAGAAGTGAGAAGTTACTGGATTGAGGCTGTAGCAGGCAAACAAAAACAGGAGGTAGAATAGAAGCATGGTGAAATCTATTCAAACAAGGGAAATATTGGAGAATAGCAAAGTAATCCAGAGATATCATTAGCCTATGACAGACTGAACCAATGATGGCTGCCTGTATAGGTCCTAGCAGCTGTCTGGACTGGAAATCTTCTCCTTGCACCCTCAAACCTGACTGGGTTCAAGATTATCCACAAAAGTAAGGAGTTTACTCCTACACATTTACAGATCTGAGGACTCATCATCCTTATTTATTTCTCCTGTGGTAGTGCTATGTAGGAACTTGAGTTTTATCACATAAAATATTCTTGATGTTTTTCAGAGTAGCTTGCTGTTCACTGCATGGTGTGTTGGAAGAGGTACGTGCTCAGTAGTTTTAGAAAATGAGGTATTCGTTCCTTGTAAGAACCACATCTATGGATTTAGTAACAAAATTCCAAGATTGTTAGGTAGTTATTTAAATGTATTTACAGTATTTGATTCTTTTAAAAGTGCAGGTCATATCTTTGATCACTCTGTTCACTTTGCCAAGATTTCTGTAATGCAAATAGGGATACTGTCAGGCAAGACTGTTTTTGCAGTTTATTTTTCTTTCTCCTCTGAAGGTCAAACAGTCTTTCCTATATATAGGTACTATGCTGGTTGAGGGATTAGTGCTGAGAATTTTTGAAGCTATGCCTTTGAAATGTACCATGTTTTGAGAGGGATTCCTTGTGCGAGTTCCTGTCCCAGGGCTATCATGATTCTCGTCTTTTGGTGTGGGAGCCTCTATTAAGGAGAAAAAGTAGTCACAGACCTTGTGTTTAAACGCTCACCAATTTCTACATCTGAGATTCTGAGAAAGCAAAATGTGGGATAGTAAAATGAAAGCATAAAGTAAATCACCCCAAATGTACTTGCCACCTCCCATTTATCTTTGTCCTATTTGCAGCTTAGATACCAAACTATGCTGTAGGTTGTACTGCTAGTCCAAAACTAATTGATATCATAAAGGTGCACTCCTCTTTGGAGAGGTCTAAAAACACAGAAAAAGGACAGGAAACGGTCTGCTCAACTGTTCAGAAAGGTATCAGTCTTTGTTCTTAACAGCAGGGGAAAATAACCACAATCCTGACAGCTTCTGAGTTTCTTGGACACCAGGAATGTGTTCCTATCTTTTCCTTTTGCTCTCTGTTGGCTGCCCCATTTAACTACAACAAATTGCCACAGAGATTCACATAGGCTAATGGAGACTTCTTATGTATTCACTGTCTGTCAACATGCTGTTTTTTTTTTTGCTGCTTAGTGTGCTAATGCCTAGTTTTATGTTGTTCTTTCACAACCCCTGTTTTTATCAATCTGTTAAAGATCATAAATGATAGTCTTTATCACAAGACTGACAGTGGTTCTCTTATCCTAGGATACACTGGGTAAATAAGTCTGTAATTTTCTGTTGCTCGCAAGATAGCAGAAAAGTTTGCCACTGTTCACAAAAAAATATAAAATAAAATCCTTATCTTTAATGTAGGCCACTGAATGTTTGCATGATTTCCTTTCTTCCAATTTGCAGGGCTGAAAATAGTTTCGTTGATAGTCTATATTTTCTGTTTCATTTTCTTGCACATGTGTTGGAAAAAGGTGCCAGAAATATTGTGTGAGAGAAGTAATTCTTATAAGATGAGAAGTGGGAATGGATTGAGGAAAATCTCTGAGGGAGTCTGTTTTTGTTGAACCTTCTTGTTCAGTTAAAAGAGAATAAAGACTTTTTTGTAAAGATGAGATTTGGCTTCCCTTGAGTTTCTTTAGTGTTCACACTGCATATTCTGTATCACAAATTTTGGTGATTTCTTTTTTTATTTCATCCAAACATTGCCTCTTTGGGGGAGCTTTAATCTTATGCGTTTTATGCTATAACAGTTCTTTTCTTTGCTTTTCACAGACTGTTTTTGAGAGGAACTGTCAATCTGATGACTGTGCTGCTGATTTGAAACTTCAGGGTAAATTACTGCTATCTAGGTGAGTAACTGAAGTTTTTTCTTTTTCATTCTTATATGCTAGTACGCCATTCATTTTATGTAAGATGTAGTCAAAAATCAAAATGCAAATACAGTCATCTTATATCCAGACTAGGACATTGATAATGATGGCATGTCTAGTGCAGTAAGGTCTCAAGATGTACACAAAGGTGTAGGTGTAAACTGCACACAGAAAAGCATTTTTGTTCTGAAAACATGTCACAGGTTTTAGAAAAATGTGTCTTCTATGGTTGTGATTCCCCCCTCCCCCCCCCCCCCACAACCTTTAATTTCTGAAATTGTATACTTTACTAACTCTTGAAATACTGCTCTCCTTTGTCTTTTTGTTAGTAACTCGGGGGTGTCTGATTTCACTTTATTCTGGGATAATAAACCTTGTCAAATAGACCAGAGGTGAAGTTTATGTTCTGTCCTTTGAGACTGGTGATCCTAGGAAAGCACCTATTGTTTTGTCAGGATGCAGTTATTCAATTTCTGGATAAATCAGGCTAAAGGTGAACTTCATGCATCACTCCTGTTTCCTTTTTTTTTTTTTTCTTCAGCATTTTAGCACAATTTTAGAAATGGAAGTGCTGATGTGAGTTATTTAATTGTGTGCCAGATGTTTTGCTGCTTGCAGATGCTCTCTGTGAAATGCTTTGCTTTTAGGTCAGGAAAGAGGGGAAGAGAATTTGCTGCTTATGAAAACTGAAAAAAAAAAAGAAAAATGGGTAGGAGATATACACATTTTATGTAAGTCTACGGCATGCTGTAGCCATAGTTGGAGACAAAACTGAACAAGAGTCAAATCTGAGTAGTTACGGACTGGACTTCTCCAGACACGACTGAAGTCCACAGGAATGTTTTTGGGGATTGGCTGGGAGCAGAGTTAGGTCTCAGGTTGCAGAGTCCACACTTTGACTGTGATTAGTCTGGATTTTTGACCTTTCACTAGATTTTAGTGGTGAGAAGAACATATTGAGAGTAGAGCTGGAGACTTGTCTGTGTGGACTGAGGAAGCAAGTAAGGGGATTTATTGTACATTTGAGGAATAATCAATTAAAAACTGCTTCTACAAACTTGTCAGTGTGTGGTAATCATAGCAGTAAGAGTTGTATTTGTGGTTACAGTATTAGACTGTTTACTTTTATGACTGTTATTTACACTATCACAACAATTTAAAAGCCACAACTGTCAAAAAAAAAAAAAAAAAAGAGGATATTCAAATAGAGTTTCCACAGTCACATAACAAAATGTTGGACAAGTGCTCTCAAGTCTTTTTTGTTCAGTGACATTCTGAAGTCCTGTCTGAAATAAACAGGATGTCATCAAATCTATCAAGTCCTCACATAATAGGTTTCCTTAAGGTAAAGGGTATTGTAGACTTCAGCTAGTAAGAATCATAGCACAGTAAACATCTCTGAAGAAAACACGTTTTTGGTCTGTAAAAATACAAAAGCATGCTATGGATTCTGATTATAAAAAAAAATAAAAATGTCCACCTTGAAGAATATGCTCATCTTTCTAGCCCCTTCATGTCTTATGCTACAGAACTCTGTGAGCCTGTTTTCACATACTAGCTGTTTATGATAATTCTGTGTAAAAAGCATTTGCTTTGTAGGAAGAGCATAGAACGTGAATCTTTTATTATTATATGCACCTAGGAACTAAATGAGTGACTTCATTTTTAGGAAGATTATGGCAGTGTCTTTGTCTAAATAATCACATCTGACTAAAATTGGTGGATTTATTAATAAAAGCAATATACGTAAGAAATATATATAATATAACATGATAGATTGAAATAAACAGGGTGTTTATGGGAAGGCAGCAGTAAATACAGTGTCTTAGATACTCAGCAGCTCTTTGAAGGTATTGCTGGACATATGGGTAGAGTGATCTAGTTGAGGTCATCTACCTTGGCTTCCAAAACTTTTATTAGGATTTCTCACCAAAAGGTCATAAAGAAAGTAAGTTGTCCAGGCCTAAGAGGAATGGTGCCTGAGCATTTCTACATAATTAAAATGCAGTCAACAGAAGGAGTAACTAGTCTGTTTTTCTGGTGTGCATGTGCCGTGGCCAGTGGTACTCATCATACTCATAAACAATCAGGGAAATCTGCTAAAAATAAACAGCAAGGTGTTAGTTTGCTAATCATACTAAGCTATTTAGAGTAATGAAAAGAACAAACAAGGAGCTATATTTTCAAGCAGCATATGGTTAATCAGTGGAATTTACTGTTGGGGATGTTGTAAACACTGAAAACTGAAATAGTAGAGATGCCAAACTTGAATGCTGGAAACTGCAGAAATTGATCAGGAAAATAACACTACATGATTGCCTTGTTCTTCCATAGGCCTCTGCTTTAGACATAGTTAGAAGTAGGGCTCTCTGCTGGATGGACTGATTTATTCTGGCTATTCTTACACATTTTTTCATTGATTTGTAGCATGTTAGAGCCAAAAGCTATACAGAGCATGATAATATTGTGAAGTATAGTTTTGTCCATCACTATAATAGGCTTTCACATGTGTGCTGGTCAGAGCACTTGTGTGTATAGGAAGTTAGCTCAGATTACATTATCATCATGAGAATTGCTTGCTGAGGTCACACTTGTGAGTTCAGGAACCATGCAAGCTACTCCGATATAGAGTTCACCTGAGATGCATTTGAATCACTAGACTTACCCAGTTAGTTAAGATCACAACTGCATTCGAATATGTCAAACCAGTGTACCAAATGACTAATAGGAAAATAATCCTGGTCTAATTTGGCATTTCATGGGATCATCCTTTTCTTCCCAAAACTTACTCGTGCCCCCACAAATGGGGATCACTGCACTTTGATACATAACAAACAGACAAACCAGCACATCCACCTAACAATCTAATATATGGTGACTTATCCGAAGTGCTCAAACCAAGCAAATCTGTGTTTGTAAATTGAACGCTGCCATTCTGACGAGATAGAGTTATGTTTGCCTCATTATTTCTTGTTAGTGCTGCTGCAAGTGGAAACTGTGCTGCTGGGCAAGCTGAAATCCTTCACTGTGATGTTGGTAGTGGGGAGGAGAAGGGGAAAGGCCTTGAAAGTGGATAATGATAAAAACCTCAAAGATTTCTAACCCTTTCAGAAAGAATTAGTGAAGATTTCAGAGGGTGAGAATGGGGTGTGGTAGTGATTCCCATGCTCTGTTTTTGTTTTTTCAAACGCTTCTGTTATAGTGGAAGGTGTCCTTGCAGACGTGGGCTAAAGACCAGGGTAACATGCTGTACTGGAATAAAGACAAGCTAGAAGGCATTTATTTTGAATAGAAAAATACACATTCTCAGTTAACAGACATATTTCTTTAAGGCTTGATTTCAGTTAAGAGATGGACCTCTTTAAGGCTTGTCTACTTTCATGAGCATGTGTTTGTATGTAAGCCCACTCCAACTTGTAAGGATTGTGAAATGATGGAGCCAAACTCTTACTGCTTGTGTCAGATGGCACCAGGGACAGCAGTCACAGACTGTGTCTCGGCAGCTTCAGGCTGGACACCAGGAAAGACTGTCTTGTGTGGGCAGTTTGTGCTGCACTGGAAGGAGGGCAGAGATCATGGGGTCTGCTGTTCTGGGTTTCAGGACTCAGCAGGGTGAGGTCCAAGGTCCCAGCTGACTGTGGTTGGCAATTGTTCTGTGATGAGCAGGCTGATGGATGCTATAGTCTCTAGAGATGATTTCCAACCAAGTTTGCTGCAGTTCTCTGACTCATGTCAAGATAAAATCCTCTCTGCAACTTGAGCAATGCTGCCTCAACAAGGAGCCTCCCTTAACCAAGGTGGAAACAGCTGCCTAAGATGGTTGTCGTCCAGTGTCATGGCTGTGATGACACTGATGCTGCCTCTGCCAGCAAGAACAGCATCACAAGAGGGGATGGTGATATCAAATGCTGGACCTGACAAAAACTGCAGGGATTAAACTTTCTAGTGCAGACATAATGAGGTAGCATGTGAAACAGCCACAGTGGTGCATGCTAGTGTTACCACAAATGGTCTTTTTAGTGCTGGGCCTGCATTTATTCTCAGGACTATGGGTGTTGTTAGCTTAAAACTACAGATGCAATTTCAGGGTAGGGAAAAAAGAGCCATGGGATGTGCTGGGGATTTGGTGAAGGCAGTTTTGGGAGAAACTGAAGGATCAGAAGAAAAGTGTTTTGTCTTTCCAGTCATAACTTTTCAAATCCATTCTTCTTGAAGAATAAGCATGAGGTTTTGGCACCACAGAGTAGAGAAGACTACCTCATTGCCTCCCCATCAACGAAACTCCAGTGTTAAATCTTGCAGCTGTAATAGCAGATACCAAAATTTGGCCCTATCCATGCAGTACTACCCCATCTTAGTGGGGAGGATGAGGGGCAGAGGGGATTTAAAAAGGAAGGGATTTAGAAGTATTTTAGTGTGAAGAAAATATTTATAGCATTTATGTATTGCATGTAGGTAAATCTATCAAGACAATCTGAAACCTTAAGAGAAATAGGAATAGGATATTTTGCAATAAGTTATATTTTTATGGTAACAGTCTTTTGGGACAGTAGTAGAAAACTGGTTTTCCTTGCCAGTAATCTATTACTGAAAAGCAAAATGCAATTAAAGAGTGCTCTGTTAGCTATTATTTTCAAATACATTGTTTAATATTACAAATGCGTTTATAACATACCATGCTTGACTTGAATGCCCCACTTCGTGTTCTCAGCCCAGCAAATGTCTTTTCCATCAGGTTTCTGTAGTGAATCACAGAATCACAGAATTTCTAGGTTGGAAGAGACCTCAAGATCATCGAGTCCAACCTCTAACCTAACACTAACAGTCCCCACTAAACCATATCCCTAAGCTCTACATCTAAACGTCCTTTAAAGACTTCCAGGGATGGTGACTCCACCACCTCCCTGGGCAGCCTGTTCCAATGCCTAACAACCCTTTCAGTAAAGAAGCTCTTCCTAACATCTAACCTAAAACTCCCC